GCGGTGCGACGTTTCTTGTCGTCGCGAGAATATAATGGGGTTCATACGAGGATCAAAGGTGAGTCGCGAGTCGCGAGTCAATACCCTTGACCATTTTGTTGATTTGCTTGACCGCTGTTGTTTCGAGAGATGTTGGAAAAGAATAGCTTGGTTACCGCCGTACCCTTTGGTGTTGATGTTAGGAGAAAGCTTTTCTGTTGAAGTGCATACATAGCAAGTAAGGCATCGTATGGATACACTATTGGCCTGAACCACCTCAATTTTCACCCCTGGATGCATCTTCAGATATGCGAGCAAACCTTCAATTTCTTCAACCCTTAATGGTAGAGCTGTGCAATCATGCTCGCTTTCGTACTTAACATTGTCGGAGCTTTCGGCACAATGGTGGTGTTGATCATAAGGGCCGTCTACTATAGTATACACATTTAGGCGGGTAATAAGTTGCATATAGAATTTGTGGATGATGTTTGAAAGGGGTTCGTCTACGAGGATATGGGATGGGAGTACGTACGACATCTATTTGCCACCTCTTACCTCTCTGTATTGCATATCTCTGGGAGATCGATTCGTATGCATTGATATATTCGCCATTTGATAGTGGACGAGAAGGAAGAGAGACCGTGCAAGAAAAGGTTTTGGTCCATATCATTCTGGCACACTTAAGTAGTTAGACGTCGGCGCATTAGATACACAACCACAATACAGTACGTATCTCTGTCTTTAGCAGGCCTCTAATTATTTCAACAATCTATCAATCCTTCAAAATTCTATCATCCCTCAAAAAACATCGAACTGTGACTTGACCTTAGTGAATTGATCTTACGTATGGTATATAGTGACATGTGGTGTGACTGAGATAATGAGGGTTACGTATCCGGCAATGTATCCAGACTACCTCGAGGCTTGTGAGACGTGAGGGGATGGAGGCACGAGACTCCTGCTTTGAGGATTGGGTCGGTGATGTAGGGTATGGGGTAAGATGAGGTGTGATATAATATGATACAGATAGGAGATTCTATAGAATTGAGCCGATGAATTTGCGATGATTAACACATGTAGAGTGTCGTATGTAAAGCACGGAGGGAAACGGGGGCGGAGGGGGGAGTTCATGTATGAAAATAGACATGCTGCGTCGGATCTCCGATGTTCTGGATCTGCTCTTCTTAGAAAATCTCAATAATCTTTGATATAGTGACTGAGATGCGAAGTTTGATGTGTATCCTGGGTTGTTGCTCGGGGGAGGAAGGAAGGAGGGGGAGGGGGGAGGGGGGTTGTAATGTACACTTCTCCACCACTCTTCTCAGATGTCAGATGTCCGAGGTATCTATTTGTTATCCTACTTCCGTGCAACAATCTCTCCCCCGTCCTAATCCAGCAAAGGTTTCTGGATCCACTCGATCTACTTCCTTGCGTATATTCATCCAATTCAAGACGTCTCTTCATCTTCGCCTGCGTTCCTAGTGTCAGGTTCGTTATCTCATCATCTTGGGTCTTGGTTGGTACTTTTTATATCTGATTTTCGAGACTAATCTTCGATTTCCTTGTCTGTTTCCTGAATTACCTTTCATTCCGACATCTTTGACTCTAGAATTCTCCTTCATCTACTCGAGAGGGAGGGGTGTTTATGATACCCCCCTCTCCCAAAAGAAGAGGAGATAAGAAACATGGTGGTCGGTTTGGAGTAATGGCGCATATATATATTGAACGGTCCGGATTTGCTGAGCTGAGATTTAAAGCATATTTTTGGAACATTATTATTTGGAACTGGATTGGATGTTTTGATCGAGTTTGCAGATTATTTGAGAATATTAAGTGGATGAAAGGAAATAGATAATTGAGAGGAGTTGGATATGCGAATTGAGTTCAATGTATCTTCTCTTTGAAGTACATTCTGGAATATGGAATGCACTGGGCTCGCTGGAATAATAGTATTGAGCGACCCATCGCTTTCATCATCGTCAGTATCCCCGATTCGTTCCGCTTTCCTCCTTCTCCGTGTCGTCGCATGTGTTAAGTATCACTTTGTCACGTAGTGGGATTCCTCGTCGAATCTTTGTGCCTAACATGTTTCACCACGGTAGCGATCACATCTTCTCTCAGGGACTCCTCAGAGGACCCCAAAACTTCGTTGTAAAGAGTCTTCTCTGACTTAATTCTATCGATGTTGTAATGTCTTTCTCTTGACAGCTGTGTTTAAACGCTTCGTGTAATGATGATACATATACCGTTTTCCCGTAAACTGACGTGTAAGAAAGCCAATATCTTCACCTGAAGCTTTGAAAACTTGGCAACTGTCTATAGCGTACTTGCGTGAGAAGCGTTTCCTTCAAGATCCTCAGTTTTCAATCATCCGCTTCGTGAAAACGAGGTGTTATTGCTGTTGGCATGCAACGAACGCCATTTCCAGTTGAGACTCCAACGTTGGGTTGTTCCTTGGCGAATATATTTCATAGTGAGCATCTTATTGTTTCAAACTGACAGCCATGCAGTGCAGGGCGAGACGCGTTGCTTCAAAGGACTTCAAGTATGAGAAACAAAGCACCGTCAAAATATCTCCATACCGGCCTCGTCCCAAACCACAGTATTCCATCAACCAACCTCTGGAGATTGTGTGTTGTGCACTTGAAGTTTTCCGTTCACCAGATCCAGATTTCTACTATTTCGGCGTGATGTTTCTCTCCTCGTTAGAGAAGACTAGCAGAACCATATCAGAGACATCTTCTCGCCTTCATTCCAATTCCTTTCACGAGCTTTGCGTCAAGAGGAGCTTCCTTTCCAATGATTTGCACCTTCTCGTTCATCTTCTTTAAACACAATCTTATGGACTGGAAATATGTAAAACAATCAATGTGCTCACAGAATTGACTCTTCTCTTCTACGCGACTGCTATTGTTTTCGTCATCTTTCAACAATTTGTGAAGCTAGATGTATCCAATTCTGTAGTTAAATTAGCCAGGGAATATGATGAGAATATATAGTGTTCCTAACTCTCGAGCTCCAAAATCGGCAATCAGCAGACACTAGCCCACACCAGTAATAGTGAATGCTTGTCTGATTCAGCCTGTCTATAGCTAATGCTTCGCCGTCAATGCTATGCGCCCTTATAAGTCTAATTGAATAAGATTAAAGGAAGAATGCCATAGAAACTACTTCCCCGGATACCCTCTGAATCACCCGTAACAAAACCCCGCAGTGCCCAACACTTATAGCCTATGATACCCGTGACTTCAAGGAAACCAAAACCAATTACCCCAAATCAACATGCAAGCTATGAATGTTTGAACGTTCAATATTTTGAAAGATCTGAATCTTCTAAGCAGGTCGAGAAGGAATTGAACGCTTCTGATTGCCGGACTGCAGCCTGAGTTCCTGGTAACCCTGGGTACACTGAGAAGTCGAATGAGTAAAGCCCGTTTGCCCTAAAGCCCAATAACTAAACCAGATTCACATTATCTCAGAGGCACAAAATAAGTACAATCTCCTGGTCAAGCAAAATTTGAATTGCGTTGGTTGAGCTCTGATATTGGTCTACCAGAGCTTGTCTTTGGTGAATACTTAGTGCGTACTTAAACCAAGAAAGGGCGCACAACAGACCAGTACGCATGAACAGGTTTGAAAGTTAGATGTTCAGAGAAACTTTGGACATCCAAAAAAGAACACAAGGCTCTAACAGCTAACAGTAGAGAGATGAATCCTTGAGCTGCAGACAAGAGGAACACCTGCTTGCTGTTGAAAGCTTAGTGTGATTTGCAAACTGCTGTTTATTAAGTAGTTACTAGTATACCGAATGAATCGGATTATAGCATTGGCGCAGCAATACGTTAGCTCGGATCTACATTGATTCCTGACAATCTTCTACACATGGACATCATGGAAAGACATGAGACACGAGCGGGCAATCGTACATAGTGAATAGATTTTAATTGAAGAAAGGGTAATGGAAAGATATTTTTTGCTACGGCTTGTCTCTATGATTCCTAGGTAGCTATTCTTGGATGCAGTCTCCGGGTTACTAGCCAATACTGACGAAAGGTCCATTGTCACAAAAGCCAATTAACCAATACGGCAGCATTGTCACTGGGACAACAAAGTTACCATATACAAAATTGGGGCCGTCTACCAATTGTATATAAATGATGAGATTGAAAACTGCATATTTAACAACCTAAAATTCAAAAATTCAAGACCAAAAGCACTTTAAGGACACCCTGTTCTGCCCAAGGAAATCGAGAACTTTAAGCCCCTTACTTCAACGCGATGCAAAATAACCAAGTTATCGGAGTTATAGTCATTGCCCTCATGGCATTTATGATTTTATTCGGTATGGGCATTTACTACTCTGTTCAAGCCATACAGAGACGTCGCCCCCGGGGCGCCCAGCTTTTGGCAGAAACAACAATGAGTGAAACACAAGGGACTCGATCGCTATTTTCCTCGTTAGAATCATCGCATCAATGGAGTCAAGAATCGCGATCGTCGAGTTCGACGCAATCACATTCGACTCGGGCCTCGTCTCAACGGAATGATAGGAGACATCGTCCCACCGAAGCAAGGCCTGAAAGATCTCGTAGACTCCCGGACATTGTGGAAGAATGGCCAAATGAGCGGTTTCGAGAGCTTTCACCAGAAGATACCTCCCAAGGAACAGCGGGGTCTCTTTCACAGCTAGAACAAGAAATGCCAGGTTCTTACAATCGGTCCATCAGACCCGGTAAACGTCAATCCGGGCTTGGTATTGCTCATGGAAAGGAACGTCTTGTACATTCATAGAAAGTGTAGATCGATATTGATCACTTCCTCTGACGCATAGAAGGCAGTCCATTTATACAAGCACATTTGTGCTATCATAATGATCCAGATCAGGTGGCCAATTTGCAGTATAGAGTACCGTCGTTCTATATGTAAATGTCCCACTGCCCGCAGCTTTCATTACTTTGCGGTTTTATTGATGCGGAGATCCGTGTTTCGTTGTTACATGGTATTTTTTAAGCTTGCCTTCGTCATCCAGCATTTCCACTTTCGTCCACTTCCAGCATAAATCCAGGGCTCCAATACTCCCACTCTTCGCTTTGTTTGTCGACCCATAACATACTTTCTGAGACTAAATCTTCAATAGCTGTCTTGGCTCTTGCTCTTGGCCATCGAAGATTTAGCATGAGCATTCCGACACTGACGTATCCAAGTAGCTGCGCAGCTTCCAGAACTGCACTCTGATCTGTATTAAGTTCTTTGGGTATCGAACGGATATATGTTTTATGGCCAACGGTTATAGTGGAGTAGGAAGAACCAAGGGGTTTTAGGGTAGTCACGGCACGAAGGATATCATCACTAGGATACGATTAGCATTTGCTATAGTCATAAGAGTGGGACAAGGTGATCAATACTCAGATATTTCAGCTCCACCTTCCATTCGTGTGCTCATAATTCTGTCTTTGACTTCTTTAACACCAATAAGCCCACCATTTTCTTCCCGTGTAGCGCCACAGACTTCCACAACTCTTACTGCCAGCTCAAAATAGAAATCATTCACACTTGTACCAAGCATCTGAGCCCAAAAACTTCCACTCCCATCTTTACCTCCAGCATTATTACTACTGGCCAAAGGGTCCACTCCAATAGCTGAACACATGCGTGCAAACTCGGCGCGGAAAATGGGATTCGAACGTATATCTTTGGCATGAGTTTGAGCAAATTGCTGAAGTAAAGAACGGAAGACTGATAATTGAGTAGCTATAGACATAGAGTGAGAGCTGCGAAGAGTATTTCCGTGAGACGCATATTGAGCAGAAGCGATTCGAGATCTATCGAAAGCTGCTAGACCAACACCTTTGCGAGACATCGTAGCACCTATTTTACGAAATGGAGGAAGTCTTATAATGTAGTTGACATTGAATGCTTTGCGATAACGATAAGACATCGGTATGTGATCTGGGGCGATGAATGGAGCTAACCTTTTTTGGCGTTAGCCCATTTCGCTAATTGAATGGCTCGCACTTTTTGCAAATCGAAAATTACACTCAGAAAGAGAACGTTCCGCGACAACGACGACAACACTTTACAACCACCTCGACAATCCACGCCAAGGTGAGCTCACATCCCGACCTGATTTGATTTGCGATTGTTCTGGAGTTTGGTGGTATGGGAGGATTTGTGCGTTGCTTGGAGGTTCTGGAACTCGACCATTATTTTTTTTTTTCGACATTCGACAAAAGCGTTACCAATTATTTTCTACGATACGGAATGGTAAATTTGGAGGAATAAGAAGCTAACATCTACTCGATTTTAAAGGAAAATAATCCAAGATGGCTTCCAACCAGTCTGTTCAGTGTTTCGGAAAGAAGAAGACCGGTAAGAATTTCAATCCGAGTCTCGCTCTTTGGAATTGAATCAAGGCTGACATTTTTCCCAATAGCCACCGCAGTTGCCCACTGCAAGGTACGAACCCCCTCGACAGGAATCTCACAAATTCACAACAAACCCCCCGAGAACTCAAATACTGATTAGAAGGATAGGCCGGAAAGGGACTTGTTAAGGTCAACGGAAAGCCTTTGAACTTGGTTCAACCAGAGGTCTTGAGATTCAAGGTCTACGAGCCCCTCTTGATCGTCGGTCTCGACAGATTCGCCGGTGTTGACATCCGTGTCCGTGTTACCGGTGGTGGTCAAACCTCCCAAATCTATGCTATCCGTCAAGCTATCTCCAAGGCCATCGTTGCCTACTACCAAAAGTTCGTCGATGAGCACTCAAAGAACCAATTGAAGCAAGCCCTCGTTACCTACGACAGAACCCTCTTGGTTGCCGATAACAGACGTTGCGAGCCAAAGAAGTTCGGAGGTCAGTTTTTTTCTATGGCAGGTACGATTGAAATTTTGGCTAATGTTTTCAATAGGTCCCGGTGCCAGAGCCAGATACCAAAAATCTTACCGTTAAATTTGTGGTTTTATGGGGTTGGATTTGGGGGAGTGGTCATGCTGCATTTGCATTGGGCTGGCTTTTTACGCCGGTTTATAGAATTTTAAGCAAGTAAATGCAAGATTCTTCCGAAATGTTCATAATATGAGGAGCATATGGCAATGGAAATGTTGAACAATGCTACGACAACGTGCCGAGGATTCGCAAGAGTTCTGTTATGTGATTATCTGGTGATCAGGGGTTCGCTTCAATCGACCGAAAGCACGAGGTAGAATGGCTATAACCACAAATACACTTCCCATTCCCAGCAATCGTCTACATCTTGACCATGTGTGACGGATTACTGCACAGTGAAAGCATCATACACGAGTTTCCCGCCTGTTTCATTCCATATCTCAATGACGTCAAACTTTGTGATTTGATTCCTTTTTAAGTTTGAATAGAATATCATTCAGAATTGCAGTGGTGCATGAAGTATATCCTCTATAAAGTCCCAATTCATGTTGAATGTCAGCCAGCCAGCGAAAACTCCACAATAAAGTTGAACCATACGCCCGTACCCATACCGCCCAAACTGCGTCTCTAATCCTTAATGTTTGCCAGAATCGTCTTCATCATCTCATTACCTACTCTAGTTGCTTCTGGAAACCTTGGAGCGAAAAACGTTTGCGTCTTCTCGAATCTATCTTTCCAGCTCTCGAAATCTCCAAACTCCACACACTCGCTCCATCCTCTAGCTGCAAATGTGAATTCCAAATCGTCGGAACGGAATGTATTGTCTTCAATAGCAGTATTGATAACTTCGTCCAACAATTTATCATTTCTGAATAGGTATTCTGAGACACCGAGCCAGAGACGAAAGAGAGGAGTGCTACAGATCATATGATCATATGGACTAATGTTGAGACGAGCCCAACAATCAACGATAGCGAGAAGAGAGAGATGATTGTTTGGTGTTGGCTTTTCAGGCTTTTTACCTAGGGAGAAACGATCAAGTACTTCATCGCGCAAGAGTAATTCATCGGACTTCTTTCGTCCAGCAAAGACGAATCGTCCTGCGCTCTTGATTCGCTCCTCTAACTCTCTTCTGTGCCCTCCAAGCATTAATTTGTATAGATCTGTAACACTTGACGCGTACTCTCTGATCTGTTCTTTGGCATATGGATTCAGGATGGCGAGACCAGCATAAACGTGCCATTTCTGAGAGTAGATGCGGAGGGTAAGATTGATTTTGACATTTTCAATACCACCAACATATCGGGCTATTTCCCAAGGGAATTGGAGATTGGCGTGCCAGGCTTTACCCATGGACAGGAAGGCTGCGTGGGTCACGGCTTGGGTATCTGCTGTTATGCGGTCGTGTTGAGAAGCTGAGAGAACATGTTGTTTGGAGCCGAGGCATGAGAGAACATGCTCAACCTTTTCGAAGTTCTCTTGGGATGCACGATGTTTGATCAAAACCTATGATTTTCTTAAGCACGTGAGGTCGTGATTTGACTGTGATACTTACGAGTGGTTGACCTCGAGGATCCACGTTGGGACCATGAAGAGAATGGCAAGACACAATATCAACGTCGGCAGGAAGATACTTCTCAAAGGCAGCTATCTCAGGAGCTTTGCAAGAAGTTTGTCCTCCGACTATGGCACCTTGCTTGGTGGCTACACAGGACGTTAGAAGATGAAGGTGACGGGATCATGTAAATCATACAGGGACCATATTCAGCAACAACCTTGCCGATTGCGGCAGCTTCGACATTGTAGATGGTGTAATCACTTGCTCTGGAAACGAGGTGGCCATTGGGAAGAATTGTAATTTGTTTCTATGGACGTCTCAGCACAAGCTGCAGGACAAGAACTATCTAAACGCTGGGTATTTACTCTATCTGCAAACTCTTCACACAAAGCTTCATATTTGTCCTCTCTATCGCAGGCGTTTACTCTGCCCCAAGAATATCAGTAGTGGTCGGAGATTAAACATTATAACTATAGATTTATTGTTAGCTTCTGCAATCCCAAAAGGTAACAAACACTGCAGAAGTAATTCGATAGATTCAGACAAAATAAAATAAGGTAGCTGAGATTTTTCATCATTGAAAGCCAGCTTCCGACCTGGTACCAGAATGGTAGTCAGGTCATCTGAAGGCGATACTCGAGCCAAATGCACTCAGGTCATCATTATAAGAGGAATGAGGGTGAGAAAAAAGAGGGTGCTTACAATTGCAAAAGCGGGCTCAACGAAAGCTCAATTGAGGGAATTTACCTCCATCCAGCATCGCTGAGCCTGCGGGCATACATCTTGCCCATATCACCCATACCAATGATACCAATAACAAAGTTGTCCATTTTTCCTTCCAGATTGGACTTGGTCGAAGTCGCCATTGTGCGTGATACTAAACCAGCAGCTCTGGCAAACTGTGTATTTTAAATACCCTTCGTAAGTTCTCAAACCCGAGGCAATTGGTCTGATTTCTGCACGATATGAAAAATCGGAGAATCTCAGTGCATGGAAAATATTGTTGTTGTGATTGTGTTTGAAAGAAAAGTTGCAGTTGCGCGACGGAAACTTTATGCCTTTTTTTTAAGCCCCGTAACGCTAAGGAAAGCTGGCCACCATTCCTAATTCAGATTAGCGCGCACAAATTCGCCAAATTTTGGAATTCGAATCTCTACCCATTCATTTTGAAAACCTCTGATATTTTCGAAAACTTCGTCGATCAATCCTTCAGCAACTAACCGTCAACATGCCTCCAAAGAAAGCAGCACGCCCAGCGCAAGAGAACATCAACCTTGGTCCTTCGATCAGGGAAGGTAAGCAATTTTTAATTCCTGGAGGAATTTTGTACGGATTGCTGACCCCGCTGTGTAGGTGAACTCGTTTTCGGTGTCGCCCGTATTTTCGCATCTTTCAACGATACCTTCGTTCACGTCACTGATCTTTCGTACGTACCCCCAGCAAAATTCCATAACTGGGAATTTGGCGTTTTGATTTCATATATTGCACATTTTTGGAACGAAAAGGTTCATAGGCTGACTTTCTGGGTGATTCCAGTGGCCGCGAAACCATCTGCCGTGTTACCGGTGGAATGAAGGTCAAGGCCGATCGTGACGAGTCTTCCCCATACGCTGCTATGTTGGCTGCTCAAGATGTTGCTACCCGCTGCAAGGAATTGGGCATCACTGCTCTCCACGTCAAGATCCGTGCTACCGGAGGTAAGAACACATTCAAGAATTCTCAAATTGCGGCATAAATTCTAACATGAATTTTCTTTACAGGTAACGGAACCAAGACCCCAGGTCCAGGTGCTCAATCCGCTCTCCGTGCCCTTGCCCGTACCGGCATGAAGATTGGCCGTATCGAGGATGTTACCCCAACTCCATCCGACAGCACCCGTCGCAAGGGAGGTCGCCGTGGTCGTCGTTTGTAGACGTGTCAATTCTTTGGCTACACGCATGGAGCAGAATATGGGTTTTATTGTGCAATTGATGACAACTACGCGGGGAACGGCATTTACTGCCTGGTCTCCATATCTGAAATCTGAAATCTGGGCTTGGATCGACCTTGTCTCATTTGTCACATAAGCGCTTTAGCAAAGTGCAGCCATGAATATCACGAACTTTCAAATGACTTCAATCAAAATGCACCTGCCCATTATATGTGAAAACTGTGTTTGTATATTTCCTCAATCGCAAATATGTACAAAAGTGCCTCCTTGAATTTCAATCCTAATAAACACCGCATATTATCCATGCTGAAATGACCCCTTTGTAATACCAAGTAATCCTCCATTGCAGAACTTCTTAAACCATGCCACATCCATAAATATGAGCCTCCTCAGAACGCCACCTCCCATTGCACCTCGACCTAGATACACCGTCCATGCCAGCCTTGTATAATACAACCCAAAACCAAGCCATTATTTCATCCATTCGTAACGGGTATCCAGTGATCATAATGTCTAAGAAGAAAGCCATTAAATAGTAAGATTGTAAGTATAAGCTCTTGGAGAAAGCGAGAACTCAAGAAGTCGTAATTAAAAAGGTTGTGGTAATACACGTGCTTCATCCTGTTTCCCATAGAAAAATCAGGGGAGCTGAGAATTGAAAGTTCGAAAAGAAAGCTGAGGAAGGAGAAGGTGGAAAAAATGTCGGGAAAAGGAAAGCTGAATACAAGGAGAGTCGAAGATTAGGATATGTTTAAAAGAGCCCACGAGAAACCAGAGCGGCTGATGCGATTGGTCTTGGACTTCTTGGGTTTCTCAGATTTGCGACCTAGAGACGCAACACGAAGACTTGGTTAGACTATTGGCGGGAACGACAGAAATGATGGGGAGGCAGGGAGGAGGCCGCAAATGCAGGAAATGGTATTGGAGACAAATGGTGTTGGGCAAGAACTATGTAATAAGTAATGTGAAGTACAAGCAGTGTGTGACATGATTTGAATTGCTACAAAATTATTCGATCCTTCTCGAGCCCTTCCTCATCGAGATCTACTATCATTGGCGCGTACTCACCTCGTTCATCCTCGTCTTCGAAATCCTTGAGCTCTGCATCAATCATCTCTCCGTCCTCCAGCTGAAATTTTCCAGACCTAAGATAATATCCTCGTAGATCCCAGCCCCACTTCCACAGCCACGACTCAAAGGCTTCGAATGCCTTACCTACTTCCTCTTGCTCGCGTGTAATATTAGAACCGTAGGAGAGGAGTTGTTCGTTCAAGCGGGACTTAAACTTGGTAAGAATGATCTTCAAATCGTCGCCAAGATGAGAATCATGATCGAAGATACTAGTGTCGAATCCCTCTTCATCATACATAAACTGGGCATGAACGGCGGTGATGACCTTACGGAAAAAACCCGGCTGATCCAGAGAAAGGCGATAGGCTCCGAAGAGCTTCCTGACGATGATACCCCACTGTTCCATACACGCAAGGTTGCCGAGGATCATTCCAGTGATGTAACAGAATTGTAACTCCCCAACAATCTCATCAGAGTCCTCATACGTGCAACGTCCGATAGCCTCAACAATATAAGACGTACTGTCGATTGCTTGCTCGGTGCGCTCGCGACCTGAAGAAGATTCTGAGAAGGTACGGGCACTTCTTGGGAAAACGAAGTCTAGAAATTCGTCTCCGTCGAAATTCGTAATGCCACCCTTAACGTCACGAGGTGCGCTTGAAGCCTGTAGTTCTGTGGTCTTGATGTCATGACTAGACGAGACTTTCCAGCTATTCCACTTGCCACCTGTGACTCTCTTGAGGTAGGGATGCTTGATGCAAAAGGTTAAGCGACGCCACTTGTCGGTATCGTCGACACTATCGGCAGTGATAGGAGAACTTGGAGAGCCAACAGGAGTCGATGACGTGGAAATGGAGCGGACGGGACCTGGAGTCGACGTAGCACTCAAGTATGGCTCGAGCTTGTCAACAATCTCGGGGACGCTTGTCTTTTGAATACGCTTTTCGGCTTCGCTAAGCTCTTCCTCCACAGACTCGTGGTAACTATCCCATCTCAGGACATGAATGTCACCAAATTCATCCGAGGCCAACTTCATTGTCATCAGCCAAAACCCGGTTCGTGAAGATCCATTGCCAGACCCACCCCAAAAAAAGTGAGCACCCGCCGGGATCTGCTTGACGCCCTCAAGTGTTCCCTCAGTCTTAATGGTATAGGCCTTCGTATCATACCCAAAAATTGCACCGACTGGAAGGTTTCGAATGATGACCACATCACCATGCTCCAAAATTTCGTGATGCTCCACACCACGCTCTCTGGGTGGCGATGGAGAGTGGACTCTCAACGTACCAAGTGGATAGCTTCCAACCACATTGACCGAATGAACCGATTTTTCTGACTTCATTGACAAACCAGAAGAAACTGAGTCTGATTTCAGTAGGGTAGATTTGCTGGCTTCTTCAGCAATACTTCCGTTAGAATCACCACGCGAGCTTCTCTGTCCATCATCACCATGGGTGATATTAAGTGACGAAAAACCCAGTCTTGGACTGCTTCCATTGGATTTAGTTGATAATTGGCGGGAAAGAACGGATACATGTGACTTCGCGGTTGAAGGGCTTCTTTGGAGGGAAATCTGATGTTGGATGAAAGAAGGGTCAGATTTTGTTGTTAATTCTTCGATCTTGGTTGTTTCAGAGATCAACTCGTCCATAGTAATTGGAGAGGAATTATTCGAAATTGTGTCATTAGCAAGAGGGTCTTCACCAACGATGTTTGCCATTGTGAAAGCACTTGTGATAAAGCAACCTGTAAATTGTGGTATTTGTGAATAAACAATTTTGGAGATTATAAGTGGGTGGACAGTTTCGATGTCACAAAAAATAATTACCGAAGTAACCAAAAATAACAGATAAACAATAATAAGACTTCGGCCGCTTTTCTCCGAACTTGGCCGATTGGATCTTCGAACTCAAAATGTGTTTGTTGGTGTTGAGTTTATTATTCTGAGGAGATAAAATCCAAACTTGGGGGATTTATCAAATTTTGAGAAGAACCAACTCAATTTTCTTCCAAGATTGAAGCCCACTAGGACTTTTCATCCAAAAGTCTTTCAGATAAGATGATGTATCTGCAGATGGTAGCATCGTAATCCTTATGAAGTCTGTTCCAATACATCACCATCTAGAAACTTTTTTGATATTGGTCTGTTCCGGAAAAATAGAAAGGCCGATTCTCCTAAAGTTGCCAGACCTTGAATTCCCACATGTAGTAACTTTTTCTGAAATATTTGAGGCAAACGGTTATTCTAAATGATGGTATCCATTCAAGATTAGATTCTAGCTCTGTTGGATTGAAAGAAGGTATAGATTTATTATTGATATATTATATTGTCTTTCTAACAAATATCGAACATGATCACCCTTTTCGCTTATGTAACCATGAAGTTAATGCAGCAAGGGTCCCACATGGCGGAGAAGCCCCACCATTTTGACATCAGTTCAAAGCTTCCTTATTCCATCGAAATCGGTATCCATACAAAGTACGCCAAAAATAGAGCACTGCATGGAATTGCTATTGCTGCAGCCTTGAAAGAATGACTTCAGGTCAATCAACTGCGCCGATTGCTTTTGATCAGTCTGGATCAAATGTAGGTGGAAATGCTCAACAGACTGCGGGTTCTGAGCCTGAAGAAGTATGGGATGAAGCAAAACTCGAGCAGGCGATGAAAACTCTAAAGGAAATGCATATTCAAGTCAGCCCCTTCTTTCCCCGAAGAAAATCACAATGAGGAGTAGCTGACACGTTATTTAGTGTCGTAATCTACGATCTACAATTCCAAGACTTCTTACGCCTTTGGCAACCAAGCAGCAATCACGTACGTTCCAATTCTACGACTTCAATTCTCAGCTTCTGATATCTGTAGCTGACCACTACAAACAGCTGAGCAGCTCTTTTCTTCCTTTCAACAAGCCGCAACAACTTCGAATAAGGAAGTACGAGATTTCACACTTTTGATGAAGGATGAAGAGGGTGTGAAGCTCTTTGAGCATGCAAAGAAGAGTCGAGCTGAGAACCCACATGGAATAAAGCCATGGAGAGTTACAGAACATCCTGATTGGCTTGATAGAGATACATGATCTTCTCACCACGACAATACGTTTCGACATGTCCAGACCGGAAAATGTGCTATAGCATCTCGGCGTTCTTGCGGACTTTTGGGTAGAAGGGCAGGTCTTGGGATATCCAGTACTGGGCGTTGGGCGGTTTTGATAGCATACGGCGGGAAAGACATATTTCGATATCCTGACAACCTAGAGCGTAATGCTCCTACCAACAGTAATGGCACCCTTTCTCTAATCTACGATTAACCATAAATCTATTCATACACGTTCCACAGGATTTATTTAGAGAAACTATGAACATCTGAAATACCCAATAGCGGCCGAATACCGTTGAAGATTACTCGTGTTCCTGAGCTCAGGCCTCATCAACATTATCGCAGAGTACCACAACATACACCGAGCAATGTCACATTTATTAATGATTTATTAAACACATAGTTATTATCTCTCTCATGGAATATGGTAAACCTTGAAATGATTGTATGAATGCAGATATGTAACCAGTGAATGATCCATTATATGAATGAAATTGACAATGCATCGACTTCTTTCAAGGTTCAGAACAATGTGCTAACTAATCGGATGCCGATTTCTTATTGGCTTATGATAATTTTTCCGGCCTTGAAGCTGTGTCCTCAACCAACCCCAAAATTGAGTGAATAGTATAGAATTGAATTTACGAAATCGTCAATAATCTTCTTTCTTTATTACTTTGATAATTCATTTCTTCAATTCGAGTTGATGTGTACTTGCCACTATTCAACTTATTGATCTTTTTGTTAGGGCACGAAGCCATTTTGGTGCCAAAAAGGTCGCTTAATTTTTTTCTGCCCCGCGCATCAACAATCCTACGGGCAACCTTTTCGACACCTCTAGGCTTACCAAATCTCAACACCATCAACATGTCTAGATTTTTCCGCGGTGATAGCTCCAGCGACAGCTCGTCCGACGAGGAGGAGGATCTCTATTCCGATGACGAAGAAGTTCAAGAACAGCCCGAAGAAGAATCTTCTGAAGATGACTCTGAGGAGGACGATGATGATGACGATGACTCCGATTCCAGCAGCGATGATGGAGTTGGCAAAAAGACCGGAGCGAACGCTTTCTTGAAGGACGATTCCGATAGCGATAGTGAGAGTAGTGGAGATGAGGGCGTGAAGGTCGTCAAGTCTGCGAAGAACAAGCGATTCGAAGAACTCGAGGCAACCGCAAAAGCTATTGAAAATGGCGAGAAGATTAATGATTGGGGATCGATCTCAGCAGGTCAGTAAATTCTGTCCAAAAAATTACCTGGAAATATAGCTAATGAATTCGTCGTAGAGTTCGACAAATTGAACCGCCAAGTCGCCAAACTTCTACAATCAGGCACAACCCCAAAGGTCTACATCAAAGCTATTGCCGATTTGGAGGACTTCATGAATGAGACCTTGGCAAAGCAGAAGGTGACACCAAAGAAGATGAATGCAACAAATTCTCGCGGTTTGAACGCTGTTAAGCAGAAGATCAAGAAGGCCAGCAAGGAGCACCAGAAGGACCTAGACTCATTCAGAGCCGATAAGGACGCGTACATGGAATCAGAAGACGAGGAAGTTGTGGCACCCAAACAAAGGAAACCAAGGTCTTCTGCTGTAGCACAGGACGTCGCCGCCGATGATGATGATGAAGGATGGGGAACTGTTGGTAAGGGTGGACGAACTCTTCAATTCACACCAGAGAGCATTCTCAAGCATTTGAGAACCATTCTCGAATCCAGAGGAAAGAAGAACACCGACCGCAATGAACAAATTAAGATCATGGAGAAGTTGTACGAAGTAGCGGCCACTCCATACCAACGCATCAGAGTCCTTTTAACCCTTATTTCAACAAGATTCGACATGACTACTGGTACTCAAACTTTCATGTCCCAAGAACAATGGAAGGCAGCAGAGAAGGAATTTGGAACCCTCCTGAGTGTGCTTGAGACAAGTCGAGAATATGTAGTTGTGGAGACCGCTGAGCCATGGGAGGATGATGAAAAGCTTCCTACAGTTGCCGAAGGCACAAAGTTTGCGATTCCAGGAAGCGTCGTCTCCTATGTCGAAAGACTTGATGATGAACTTACAAGATCGCTTCAACACATTGATCCTCACACTGCTGAATACATCGAACGTCTCTCTGACGAGAGTGATCTTTACAACAACATTGTTAGAACTATGTTGTACCAGGAGGAGATCAGCAAGGACGCCAGTTTGAACGAGCCCCAACGTAGCTTGAACAGAGTCGTCATGAGAAGATTGGAGCACGTATACTTCAAGGTTTGTAATATTCCATCTCCCATATCACAATTTTTACTTATTCGTCTATAGCCATCCGCAGTCATCAAGATCCTCGACGAGAACTGCTGGAAAGCAGTTCCTGCAGAGCTCGATTCCACCATCACACCACGCGGCTCCATTGAAGATGCCAAGACCTTGGTTAACGTTCTCTGCAACTACCTCTACATCAACACTGAGGGCGAAGGACTCACTAAAGCAAGAGCCATGCTTTGCCAAATCTATTTCGAAGCTTTACACGACAACTACTATAAGGCTCGTGATATGATGCTTATGTCTCATTTGCAAGAGACTATCAATTCGTTCGATATTCATAGTCAAATTTTGTTCAACCGTACTCTTGTTCAAGTTGGTCTCTGTGCTTTCCGAGCTGGTTTGGTCTATGAGGCCCAAACCACCCTCCAAGAAATCTGTGGTAGCGGCCGTCAAAAGGAATTGCTTGCCCAAGGTGTCATGATTCAAAGATATAACCAAGTCACACCAGATCAAGAACGTCTCGAAAAACAACGTCAACTTCCATTCCACATGCACATTAACCTCGAGCTTCTTGAATGTGTTTACCTCACCTGCAGTATGCTTCTCGAAATTCCTCTATTCGCCCAAACTGGCTCATCCCCCGATATCAAGAAGAGAGTTATCAGCAAGACATACAGACGTATGCTCGAATATCATGAGCGTCAAATCTTCACTGGACCTCCAGAAAACACCAGAGATCATGTCATGCAGGCATCAAAGGCTTTGGCCCAAGGTGAATGGAAGAGAGCAACCGAATTTATCCACTCTATCAAGATTTGGGAGCTTATGTCCAAGCCCGAGGAGATCAAGGCAATGCTCTCAGCGCAAATCCAAGAAGAAGGTCTCCGAACCTATCTCTTTACATACGCTCCTTATTACGATACTCTATCCGTCAACAGACTCTCGTCAATGTTTGACCTCTCTGACCGAAAGGTTGCTGCCATCGTTAGCAAGATGATCAGTCACGAGGAACTTGCAGCCGCATTAGACCAAGTCAACTCCTCGATCATCTTCAGAAAGGGTGTTGAGCTAAGCAGACTCCAAAGCTTGGCATTGAGCCTCAGCGACAAAGCTAGTGGCTTGATTGAAAGCAACGAGCGTACACTCGAGACAAGAACACAAGGCACAGCCAATGCTTTCGAAAGACAAGGCGGCCGAGGCGGACGTGGTGGTAACAGAGGAGGTCGTGGTGGTAACCGTGGTGGACGTGGTGGTATCTCCAATGCTCCAAGGCAAGCTGGTGGAACACAATTTACCGGTGGTGCTTTGGGAGCTGCTGTAGGTAGCAGAGCTTAAATACGGATGGATAGATGTGTTAATGCATTGGGAATGGGTTGCTTACAGCGCTGTAATTGGCCCAAAGGCGTTTTAATGTAGGGCTTAGGAAAAGCTAGGTTCATGCTCCACGAAGACAAAAGAATGAAATTTTTTGATCATATATTTGGTGTCACATTTAAGGCTCCTAGACCTGAATTCCTAAACCTTTATCACTTATTTTAATATCTCATTTTGCGAGGTAGAAGATGTATCACATATTGAAACAAACTCTTTTCGCATTATAGGCAATCACGCACATCATAGTCGAAGAAACAATAAAATACGTTACCAGTCAATCCGGAGAAACATTTCACTGCCAATCTCCATTAGTATATCGAATAACGTTACCAACACTAGAAGCTTCCAAGTTTTACATGTGGCGCTTTAGTCTGTACATCTCACTTCATCTCATTTCACCAAAAATCATGTTACATGTGCACTCGAGACCACCGATTGACGGGACGCAGTTCAACTTTTTTTCGTTTCCAACTTTATAATAAATCCAGCCTTGAATCGATCTAGCTCCGAATATAAAATCTCGTTATTCCGTCCGAAATGTATCATTTATTTGGATCTCCAGGTATTTAGAAGAACATTCTCAAAATCGTCTCCAAAATCAATCGTCTCAGTGTCTCATCACTCTGTACAACCACCGATGAATATCTACCCCAGATCTCACCTCGCACAATGTGGGCTTCAGACATCGGGTACGACTCCCCACAACGGTTTTGCACAATTTAAAGTGATGGAAGGACTGACTGAAATATGTATGTATGTATGTATGTCAGACAGTTGGTGATGGGTGAGGAGGAGGTACGAAGTAGGTATGATGGGTGGAACGGATAGCAGAATGGGTGATACAGGTACAGGTACAGGTACCGTTCTGGGAAGGGGTTGCTTTTGTGGAGAAGATGCGGAGAACCTGGTGGGTGGTGAAATGCTGGATGAGAAATTGTGTGGGAGTGTGGTGTGGTTGGACTTTTGTGAGGTGGGATTTGTGCCGAGGTGGGAGATCGATAAGTGGATGGACGGATGGATTTGTATGTATATTATGTGCATATCAGTCCATACCTCCGCAGGATAAAGATCTGATATACTATACTATACAGTTTATACTACACCATTCCATCGAATCGAGCTATCTTTTCAGAATCCCATGCCGATGACTTTCAAACATCATGACAAGATCCCCAAACGCGAGCACACGAGATGAGGGGTTACATGCACATCTCGTATCGAAACTTGATTACAGAATTTCTTGTGCAGGACGAGTATTGCGAATGTTGCAGTTGTGACTTGTGAGGTCATTATAGAGTCGAGAGTTACAGAAGGACTATAGGAGAAAATTGAGAGATGTAAGATTATGGTCGTATTGTATTGTACTGTATTGTACTATACTGATCTGATGGAGAAATGTATTGTGGGGTACAGATACAGGGGATACAATGAACGAAATACGAGATGGGTGTCTGATGATCGATTTGTTAGGTAGATGATAGATGAGTCGATGGGGATTTCATTTACAGACATCTATCGTATTGTAATCTATGACATCCTCATATATCCTCATGGATATGTGCTACCAACCCTAAATCTCTATAAAGAACCAGAGCTCCTCCCCCCTCTTTTACCATATCTTCACTTCTTTTTCTTCTTCTTCTTCTTCTTCTTCTTCTGGAGTAGTAGCTTCTCTATTTGCTATATCTTTATTAACTAAACCCCGAAAACAATTGAAAATGCACACCAACCTCCTCCTCGTCACCGCATTCGCAACATCAGCTCTCGCAGTCTCGGTCCCGCGCGCAGCGACTTCTTCAAGTTTGATCCCGGATGTGCAGTGGAAGGTATCGGGGTTTACGAGACGTGAGTTTTGATTTTCTCTTTGAGTTTTGGTTTTGATGGTTTTGGTTTTGGATGGTCTGATGAGAGTGTGAGTTTTATCGTTCGGGAAAGGAGATGGAAGATGGGTGTGAAAGTATGAGGATGTGACAAAGTGACAGGAGACAAAATGCCATAAAGCGTCACGATACCAACACAAAATCATACTAACCCATACCCAGCATGTACCGCCACAATCTGCACATACAACTTTACTATTAGTGTCATCCCCAGCAGTGGTCCTATAGTCAACAGTACGTTTCCTCCTGCCCTCCCATCCTCATCCTCATCTCTCTAACACCCCACCCTTCCCAGTCCCGTGCCTCTACAACGATTCCTCCTCCACCCCTCCCACATCCTCCACCCCCCAAACGCACTCCTACTCCGCCCTCTCCTGCAGCAGCACCCTCGTCAATGGCAAACCAGTCCCCAGCGCTTGGCAGATAAATTGGGGTTATAATCCCAATGGAGATTTTGCCGTCATGACGATTGTGGATACGCTGGGGGGAAATGATGCGTTTTTGTGAGTTTTGCTTTCTTTCCTTTACTTTGGGGGGCTTTTTTAGAGGCCGTTTGGGAACTGTTAAGGTTTCTGGGACTTGGAGAGATGATGGGGAGAAGTGGATTGATGTGTGATTTCAATTCCCCCTTTCCTCATCACTCTTCCCCTCTTCCCCTCATCCCCTCATCCCCTCTCCCTCACCCCTCCCTAAAACAAAAACCCAAAAAACCAAACTAACACCCCCCCTCCCCCAAACCAGCGGTTGGAACCAAATCACCAGCACCACCTCCTTCGAAGACAAAGGACCCAACACCGTCTACAAACTCGGCACTTTTACTTAAGTCCTCGTCCTAGGCAGATTTCGATTTCAAGACCAAGTTTCGATTCCAGGGTTCTTTCTTTTTCTTCTTTGGCGGGGACAGTAGGGTGATGGTTTTGGTTTTGGTTTTGGTTCGATTCGATTTGGTTTTTATTTTCTTTATGATTCTAGTTTTTGGCTTGATTTCGACTATTTTATTTCATGGATTGGGGAGGCGAGGTGGCAAAAGGAATGGATGAATGGATGAAGGAATGGATCTGCGTATCAGAAAAAAAAATGGAATGATTAGAAAAATGGATAATATCAATGCGAAAGTCTACCCACTTGATATTCGGAGCTTCATCAGAGATGAGATTGGTGTGTCAATAAATCCTGTTTGCCCAAGAGAATAGACTACCAATATCAACATTGATGCAAGAAGCCTGATTTGAGTAATTTTTGTATTCTTGATTCATCTATGATGACAATCCTATGTATCCGACTATTGCACCTACTCCGCCGTGCTGTCCCAACCGAAGAACTAAAGGATATCTTCCAACGTCCATCGCCAATGCATGCATATAAGTGCTATGGTACAAAAGTTTATCAAATCTCCCACCCATTCCCATCTACTACACATTCATATACTTTCCCACCCTTTCCTGAACGCCTTGATAACATCTTATAAAATGCTCCATCGTATCAACTATTTGAATTCATCTTTCAGGACCCACTTAGCCCTCATCCTACTATTCGTGCCACGTTCACAAATTGCAACTTCCGTTAGAGTATGCTTGAATTCAGCCGTCAATCGATCAGAAGTGCAATATCTATCAAAATGGTTAACCACAGCCTGACTTGGAACTGAACCGCCCATTCTCTTGATGAAATCAACAATCATCTTAGCAAAATCATGACGTTGACGCCCAGCTGGACGATTTGGAGTTGCAGCGCGTGAGCTACTCGAGCTAGAGGGCTGCGTGATACCTTGTCGGTTCGAAAGACTTGATAAAACACTTGATGAACTTGGACCTGCACCTCGTCGTACATTGGTCGGTCTACCAGCGGATCCATATTCTCCAGTCCAAGTGACAGTTCCAGGTGCAATGCTTCTTGCTGCTTCTCCAGCACGTCTCAGTGCTATAGCGGATTCTGCGGCAATTCTCTTGGCTTCACGCTCAATCATGCCACGGTCTGCCGCAACTTTAATCTTCCCATTAATGATTTGATCATGTTCAAGAGCACTATGGACTCCAGAACGAGCAAAGATACCTTCCATCAATCTAGACTCTTCATTGTTGTCTTTGTCTTTCTCCTCAGAAGGATCATTGAATTGCTCGAGTTCAGCAACACCTGCGAGATTACGAAGATCGGATTCTGAATCACCTTGACCAGGATCTGCAGACAAGCTACGAGACGACGAAGGACTGGAAGTCTTGTTGAATTGAACCTCTGTGCCTTTGAACATTTCACCAGTCTCCGTGCTCCCACCATCTTGGTCACCAAGAGTGAAAAGATCATATAGGTCCTTCATAGCAAATGTTTGTCGCTGCTTCGGATCCTTGAGAATTTTGTTTGTAAGAAACTGTTTGAAAATTTGTCGATGGTAGATCTTCTCTTCTATAGTACCAGCAGTCATAAGTCGGTAGATGGTGACCTCCTTCTTTTGACCAAGACGCCATGCACGTTCTCGAGCTTGTACGTCGGTGGATGGATTCCAATCAGGATCAAATATGATGACCCGGTTTGCACCTGTGAGATTAACCCCGAGGCCTCCAACTTTGGTGGTGAGGAGGAACACATGCATGTCAGGATCATTGTTGAACTGATCAACGAGAGTTTGTCTATCCTTGACTGCTGTACCACCATCCATACGAAGATAGTTGAATCCACCAAGTTTCTTGACGAACTCCTCGAGAATGTCAAGCATTTGAACACCTTGACTGAAGAGTAAAGTCTTGTGTCCATAGCCCTTCCACATTTGCAAGAGTGCCTTCACAACCTGCATCTTCCCGGACTTATTTCCATTGCCCCATTTGTAATCGGGCTTGGTTTTCAATCGTTTATCTAAAAGATCCGGATGATTGCAGATCTTGCGCAGTATGTCAATGCCATAAAGCGATTGACGACTGCGATTTAGAATTGATTTCATGTCATCAGATGCAAGAAACATTTCATATGCATCTCTTTGAGGTCTCGTAAGCTTGCAGAACAAGACCTGCTCACTCTTTTTGGGCAAATCTGCCGCAACATCAACCTTTAATCGTTGAAGTAAATATGGACTGATAGCATCCTTTAAAG